CTTTAAAGGTTTGCTTCCCCAGGCCTGAACTTTCAGTTGGTGACTTCTGAAATGAACCCAAGTCTTTGCCTGCCTTCCTCTGAAACTTATAGCTTAAGCCCACAGTGTGACAGTTGAGCACATCCAGCCACTCAGGTGACCCTGTGGAGGTGGCTCTAGCCCTGAAAATGCATTGGCACCTTTCCCCCAGAGACCTCACTGGGTTGAGCACATCATGCACTTTTGCCGGAGGTGGAGTTCAGAGAAGAAGGCCCTTTGTTCATTGGTATTGTCAGTGTGCAAAGCCTGGCCTTAACAGAGGATTGGTTTCGGCTGTAGATGCAGCTCAGTCATAGAGCACACGCTTAGCGAGCATGGGGCCCTGGGTTCAGTCTCCAGCACAGTAATAGTAGCAGTTGTAGTAGTGCTGCTCGTGATGCAGTGGTGGTGATGGTGGGTGGTGATGATGGTGGTGGTAGTGGTGATGGTGGGTGGTGATGGTGGTAGTGGTGGTGGTGGTGATGGTGGTGGTGGTGGTGGTAATGATGGGGCTAAGGAGACTAAAATTGGTAAAGTATTTTCAGTATAATCATGAGAGTCTGAGTCCAGTCCTCAGAACCTATGGTGGCACACACCTTTAATTCCAGCACTCAGCAGGCAGAGGCAAGCAGATCTCTGTTAGTTTGAGGCCAGCCTGGTCTATAGAGTGAGTTCTGGGACTGCCAAGGCTACACAGAGACCCTGTCTTGAAACCACCCTCCCCCCAAAAGAAAACCTACATGAAAAACAAAACAAAACCAAAAAGGCATACATGGTGGTACATGCTTGTAATCCCAACAAGGGGGAGCTAGAAAACAAGTGGATCCCGGGGGGCTTCCTAGATAGCCAGTTTAGCCTACTTGGTAAGCTCCTGGCCAGTAAGAGACCCTGTCTCAAAAAACAAAAAACAAAGTCGCCTGAGGTTGACTTCTGGCCTCCACATGTGCCTGCATATGGGCACACACATGAACACACACACAGGCCTGTACACATACACATAAGTAAAAATAAATAAATAAATAACAATAACTTGTGAAAAGAAGATTTTTCTTAATCACTGGATTCAAGAATCCTACACAGAGCCCAGGTATTCTTAACTCATGTCCCCTTCACTGCCCACAGTAGCTACTTTCACCATTGCCATTTAGAAGCTTGAGTTTTGGAAATTTTGGTCCTTTCTTTATTGCTATATCCCTTCAACTACTATTTGCTGAGGTCCCAGCTCTTGTCAAGCACTGGGCATCAGGCACACTGACAAGCAAGTCAACAAGCTTATCACCTATCTGATAGTCAACCTCCTCACCCTGCATCCTCATCCAGGTCATTGTTTCATCTCTCCAAGGAATCAGTCAGAAGCTGGACCCCGATCCCTCCATTGCCCTCTGGGCTTCCAATCTCTGGGGCTTCTGATTATGAACACACCTGATTTCTGCCTTTTGCCAAAGCTCGATCTAGAAAACACAGATAAACTGTGCCTGCATTCCTGGTTTATGGGAACTCTGAGGCAATAAATGGTTTCCAAGCCACTGAGCTTTGAAATAATTTGCTATATAATCATAGATATTAATACAAGAATTAAATAAAATCACAAAACAAAGGGCTTGGAATAATACTCAGTGTGTACCCAATCAATCCTGGCTAATATCATTGTTACTGCTTGTTTAGACATAATACTAGATGGAATATTCTTCATGGGAGGAGAGATGAGGTCTTTTTATCTACTGCATGCCACGCTCCTGGCATAGTGCTTACTTAGCCCTGAGTCTTTTGGTTAACAAGAAACATTTTGTTGGATACAAGAATAAACAAGATGGACTGCTGATGTAGCTCAGTTGGTATAGTGTTTACCTAGCATGCATGAGGTCCTGGGTTCAAACACCACATAAATGGGGCATGGTAGGACATGGATGCCTGTAATTCTAGCACTCAAAAGGTAGAGTCAGAGGATCAGAAGTTCAAACTGAATCCTCCACCTTATAGCTGGTTCAAGGCTAGCCTGGGCTACATGAGACCCTGTCTTAAAGGGGGAGATGGGGGTGGATAAATGGAATGAATGAATTGAGTTGTCTAGGCTCTTACCTCACATGAGAGTTCGGAACACAGTCTGAGTAGCCAGGTTCCTTCTCTAGCCATATGAAGAATCAAGGGATGTGGTGAATATCTAAGAAACTGAGGCCCAAGGTGCCTTTGTGTGTTCATTGCTTTAGTAAACCGAGGGTATGTTTTCCAGGAGCATTTTTTTTTGGGGGGGGAACTAACCCATGCCTGCACCACACTCTTGGAAGGCACAGAGAAAACATTAAAATAGTTAGCAACCACCTTCTCCCTTCAGCCTACTAGAAGCATCCTGAGCTATAGATTGGAAAGAAAAGTAGGGCCTTTGCTGAAGAAATAAATGCCAGAGGGGCTACACACAGTTCTCACCCCAAAGAGTCCAAGTCTTATTAGAAACAAAAGAAGCTGTACACCTCATCCAAGTGTTAGTGGTCCAGTTGCCCATTCTCCCACCCTCATCCTCACTATTTCTTCCACCTTCACTTCACTGGCTCCCACTTTAAGATTGTTCAAATGTCTTCTTGCATGACATCTTTCCCAGGGTTCAAGACAAATGGAGGAACTGCTGTCCCGGGGCCCCATCTTCCCCTTACCTGGTACCCTGGTACCTCCATGAGAGGATGATCAGTTCAGGTGAGTGCATCCCTGCCATCACCTGAGCCAGAAGCGGTGACCTAGGTCCTTAAGGGTAAGGACAGCATCCCATTGCTCTTGTATTCCCCATCAGTAGATGCTGATACAGAATAAATAGGGGTTCTATTTCCTTCTGTGATTCCTGGGTAAGTCATTGAGGACATACCAGAAGTCTACAGAATTTGCTCTACTTTAATATGGAAGCCACTCCCCCACTCTCTCCCGTGGGAAGCATACTCCCCTAGTCTAAGCTGCTCATCCTCAAGGTGTTGTCCTCAACCCTGCAGCATTACTGTCACTTAGGTCTTTATCAGAGTTCCCAGTTCTCACACCACTGGCTCAGAATTTCTGAGGCTGCCATTAGCAGCAGTCTGTGTTTTAACCAGATCACCATGATTCCTGTCATGCTTAAATTAAAAAAAAATAATCATTTTAAGCCTACCAAAACACATGTGGGAAAGACCTTCCAATCCAGACTGAATTAAGATTAATATTAAAGAATTCTGGACAATGCCCCTTGCTGTAAAATGCCCATGTCCAAGATCAATGAAACTCCCCCCACTATTTTCCAAAAAAACAGTTCAACCGGCAGTTAAATGAACTCAACACATTTATTTTAAATGTGCAAAATGAATTTTCATATCCTTAGAATAACACCAGATGTTTTACCTCTTTTTCCTAATTGATTTTCCAGCCTACAGCAATTCATCTTTATATTTTCCAGTTGGGTCCTGATGTAACAAAAAGAGTGTGTTCTGGCAGGAATATTACAGTAAGTGCCCTACATCTTAAAACAAGTGTAATGCAGGCTGCCATGCATCATCTGCGTGTTGATCTTCCCCCAAACATGAAAAACAGCTTTAGGTATCTGTGCTGGCAGGAAATTCAGAATGGCCCTTTTCAGGAGGTCTGGTCTCCAGGCTCTCAGATGGCTGGCTACAGAGCTGAGTTCTGGGCATTTGGCCCAAGCCTGAGCTCTTCCCAACCAAGTCCTGCACTCCCTGGTACTGAGGGCTCTGAAATGTGCAAATAAACACTCTGTTTTTCAATGGAAAGATTTGCTTCTAACATGAAAAGAAACGGACTGTGGGATGACCGGTGAGAGGTGTTAACCTATTCTCAAAGGGGCAGCAAGTCTGGATGGACCCAGCCTCTCTACTCCTGGGGAAGCCCAAACAACCCCCACTGTTGGCCTATGGACCCTCTGCTCTGCTGAGCTAGAGGCCTAGTTCTGGAATGCTTAACTGGGTGAAAGGTTACCACAGACAGGTTTTTCTGAGGGGAGACTGGGGAAACAGAAGCCTCAGCTTTGAGGCAAGCAACTTCAAAGGAGGCCTTCCCCGCCCTGAGTCCCAGGGCAGAGGAGGAGGGGCTGGAGTATGGCAAGCCAGCGCCAGGAACCCAGAAAGCAATGGTTCCAAAACAAAAACATACCTCTGAATTGGATGGGAGAGGCTGGCACCCTCCCCTGGAAGCTTGTGAGAGCCGGCAGGTTTGAGCCCTCCTGTCTAAAGCAGGGTTTTAATTCGGTCTCCTAAGAACAAACCAGCCTTTCTAGCTAGGGTACACAGCAGAAGGAAGCCTGTCTGAAACTAGGGGATCGCAAGGTTGGATCTCAGAACAGGACTTCTCCAGCTTTAAATACCGACCACTGAAACACACTTCTGCCTACAAGGCCATTCCTGGCCCTTAGAATAAGGCATTACGGGCTCCTTCTGGAAACATTCATAGCAAAAGTTGTATAATAAGAGCCAGCTCCTTATTTCAACTCCCTCCCTGAAACCCCACCCTAAAACTCTAGCCACACACATTCCCTTTCCCAGAGATACCAGCTTAGTTGGGAGGCGGTGTGTGAGTGAGAGAGAGACAGGAGACAAGGGACAGTCTATTCCCTACCTCTTAAGTTCCCAGCCTGGTCCACACATGTGATTAACCACACTTCCTAAAAACATTAAAAAAAAAAAAAGTCACCCATATTTAACATTCACAAATGAGAACCTTTCTCGTTGTCAAAGAGTAACAATGCACGTTTAAGGCACTTTTTAAATACCTACAGAGGAAGTCAAACCAAGACTGTAGGCCTCACCTAATGGGACTAAATTCACAGTAATTCATACACTCTGGGTGTCTGAGTAACAAGCTTATCTTCCTCTGGGAATGTGACAGGAACAACCCAGCCCCTCTGGGTCACCCAACCCCCCCTAAGGGTTATTGCCAGAAAGAGTCTGAGAATTCTTCCCTTACCCCAAATTCAGGTACTTTTAATGACACTATTAAGCCACAAGAGCCACTTATAAATGTCATCATAGTCTTTTAATATTTTACATAAAAAACTGTATACACAGCTTATAGAACTTTTATGTAAACATCGTAAGCTCACCACTTTGTCATTTGTCAGTTTATTTAAAAAATAAAATAAAACAAACAAAAAAAAATCCCAAGACAATTAAAGTAGAAGTACCACTGGGCTGGGGAGGGGTGAGGGAAAGGGAGTAGGGGGAGGCTTTTCTCTGCACATCGTAGAGAAAATTTCACATAGCTGAAATGGGGGGGAGAGGTTTAAATAGACCCCAATATGTTGCCTTCCTTTATCAAAACAGTGTGCGTAAGCTATACAAATAAAAATCACAAAACAGTGTTGACACTTTTTTTCAAGAAAACAAAGCAAAAATTAGTGTTTTTTTTTTTAATCGCCTTAAAGTCATCATAGTATTAAAAAAAAAAAAAAGACCATCAGAAGTAGATGAGGTTACAGCATACAAGTGTGGTCAGAATGCTGTCTTATGCAAATGACAAGTGCACTGAATGTCGAACAATGAGACAATTGTGCAAAGAATTCTTCCATCAACAACAATAACAAAAAAAAGCTTCAGCCTTTAAATAAATTCAGTAACAATAGTCTCTTGGACTGAACAACGTTCACTTGTGGGACAGGCACAAAGTTCGATTATGGCAAAAGTGGCCCCCGTAGCACACCCTGGATCCTCCACCGGTGGCTGGAAAGGAGGTTCGCTGGGGGTTGGCCCAGGAGACTATCTGGAAGCCGCTTCCTCTCAACCCCAAGTCAGTTGCAAATGTCTTTCCCAGGATGTGAAAAGATGGCCAAGTCCAGTTCATGCTCGGATGGGAGGGCACCTGATCCAGCCTGGGAAAGGAGTTGCTCTTGCGCCCTGGGTCACACCACTCACCACCACTAAACAACACCATTCCGCCTCCGAAAATAAAATCTGTATTTATGTAACACCCCCATCATCTTCCCCAACCCTCCCCTCCCGTGGTTCCAGGGGTCTATGTTACAGACACGGTGGGACACTAGTGGCTTGCTGGTTACAAGCGGAACATCTGCTGGAGCTCGACCTCTCTGCGTGCCTCTGGGGAAACCAAAGGCGGGGGTGGGGCAAGAGTGGGGTGGGGGTGTAGGGAGTCGTACATACACACAACCACACTTTGAGGCCTGGCTCAGGAACCCCTTGGCATTCAGCAGGGCGCCCAGGCCTGTGCCACACAGCTGGACACACAGACACTGGGAAGGGGGAGCTCGGTGCCCACGCTAATTCTCGGCGTGACCAACCAGAGCCACCAGCAGATGCCAGGCAGTCTGGTGGTGTCCTTGGGGGCGTGGGTTTCCCTTTCTCCCGGCTCGTGGGCGACCCGGCCAAGAAGGGGGAGCCACGCTGGCAGGGACGGGAGGCAGGGCGCGGCCCTCATAGCACCTTGCAGCAGTTGATGCAACCATTCTGGGAGCCGTAGCGCTTCTGCAGCGCGGCGCGCGTGGCCGTCTCAAAGACCTCGCGCACGCCCTCCTTGGTCTTGGCCGAGCACTCGAGGTAGTCATAGGCTTGGATGCGCACCGCCATGGCGCGGCCGTCATCCGTGCGCACTGGCTCCTGCTTCATTCGGGCCAGCTCCGTGCGGACATGCTCATCGCTGCGCAGGTCTTTCTTGTTGGCCACCAGGATGATTGGCACATTGGGGCAGAAGTGCTTTACCTCGGGCACCCACTTCTCGGGGATGTTCTCCAGAGAGTCCGGGCTGTCCACCGAGAAGCACATAAGGATGACGTCGGTGTCCGGGTAAGAGAGCGGCCGTAAACGATCATAGTCCTCCTGGCCCGCCGTGTCCCACAGCGCCAGCTCCACCTGCTTGCCGTCCACCTCGATGTCCGCCACATAGTTCTCGAACACGGTGGGCACGTACACCTCGGGGAACTCGTCCTTACTGAATACGATCAGCAGGCACGTCTTGCCGCACGCGCCGTCGCCCACCACCACCAGCTTCTTGCGGATGGCCGCCATGAGCTCACCGGGCGCGGGCAGCAGGAGGGGCCCGCGAGCGCCTCGCCGCCGTCCCGCTCCCTGCTTGCCACTCTCCGCTCTCCCCCGGCGGCGCGCTGCGGGCTAGGATCGCTAGCTGCACCGGTACTCCGCGGTGGTGCGTTCTCTCGGGGCTCTCTGGCTGCCGCGGCAAGGGCGCGGGGGCATAAGGCGCACGGAGCGTGTCGCTGCGCTGCTGCCGGGTGGTGCTGCGGTCCTCGGCTGCTCCGGAGCTGGGCTGCTTTGTGCGAGGCGATGGCTAGTGCTGAGGACTCGGCCTAGCCTCCTTTCCGGAGAGGTTATCGTCCAGACCAAAGGTACAGGAGCGCGGACGACAACAGCAGGACTGCGGCGGCAGATGCGGGCTGCGGCCCTAGCGCCCGCTATTTAAAGAGTCCGGCCACTTTCTTAATATAGCCAGCCAATGGGAAGCCATCGGGCTGAGCTCATCGCTGCGGAGCTTGCTTCCGATTGGCCGTCCGCTGCAGTCCGAAGGCGTGTCCGGGAGAGCATGATTGACGGCCCTGTCCGCCGGGCTGGGAGAGGCGGGGGTTTTTGGGGGTGGGCGGGGCTCTGTGGCCGCCAGGTCCCCGCCTTCGCCGCAGCCTTTCCGAGCGCAAAGCCCTTTGGGTCTGGGTGGGCAGTTGCGAGACGAGCCTCACTTTTGTGGGGCGTTGGCTACTCTCACAGTTTCAGATTTACCTTGCTTCCGAGCAGATTCCGCGCTGGAGATCAAACACATGGGGGAGGGGTGGCGCCTTTAACGTGGTTTTGTTTTTACGTAAACAGACTCCCATGCACACTTTTGTCCCTAGCCAAGGGTATCTTTTTCTTTCTTTCTTACTTTCTTTAGGTGACATACCTCTCTTCTGCTCTGAGCCGCATCCTGGTACTAGCCCCCAGGCAGCCTTTTCACAATGGGAGGCTTGACAGTAAATTGGATGGGCCTGGGTGAGTCTCCTACAGGCTCTTCTCTTCCAAGGCCTGCACTTAGGTCTCCGGGTGAAGAAGATAAGGGGAGGAATCTTAGAGTAGCATAGCCTTAGGATAATGGAAAGAGGTCCCAGCCACTCGCTGAGAAGAAATTGTCCGGCTTTGAATAGGCAACCTCCACCCAGCTCTATAACATTACATCAGATTCTAGTCCTGAAGCCCGCAATATGCTGCAAGAAAACCCACCCACCCCAATATGATGAAACCCATCCATCCCAAGCAAATGAAAAGCTTGAAGCCGGGAAAGTACAGATGCAACCTCACTGGGAACTTGATGGTGGGCACACGGTTACTGTGAGGTGGAGAGAGCGTCTTGATATATAATACCAGGCCTTAATTCATTTATCAACCCATCCTGCAGGAAGTGGCAACTCCTCCTGTCTTAAAGGATCTAAGTCAGTCTATTATAAGAAATAGAAGGAGTGAAAAGCAGCAAGGGAGTCGAAGAGGGCCTCCCCCAGAAAAGCAAACTGCTTGAACAGAGCAAAAAGAGAAAGAGAATGACTTAATATAATACAGCTGCGCGTGAGAGATACTTGACATTCAAGCCGTGGTCCCTAGTGAAGGGCTAGGCTAAGAAAGCTATATCCAGAGTGACAAAAACGGGGCACCATGATATGGTGGGTCATAGCTGGAAAGATTCGGGCATTATGCTGCCCTGCCCCTGTCACCTGGCAGAATGCACTCAGATAGTACCCTGGTCAGCCCAGGATTCCATAATTACTAGTCTGGATGCAGATGCAAAGGACCCCCCCCCCAAAAAAAGGTCTCTGCCCGCTTATGCTCTCTTTCCTGCTGTTTCCCTGGGGCACACAGGACTTTTCCTATCTCCCTCTTCTCTTCTGTCCTCTCTCTGTCTCTGTGTCTCTTTAACTCTTTTCTCTTTCCTTCTCCCTTCCCTCCCCTTTCAAACTTCTCACTAAGCTCTGTCTGCCTGGCATGTTTGTACCCGCCTCGGTCACCCTCGCCTGCCATGAAATCCGCCAGGGTCCGACATGCACTTTATCATAACAATAACGATAACATGTGGTATGTTATTGCTCCATTTCCTTATCCCCCTCCCTGTTAGCTGTCTGAAAGCCTGCATTTACTCTTATCTCAGCATCTTAAGACCTAGCACTATGCCTGGCCCTTTGTAAGAATCAATACATGACCGGTGCCTCGCGTGGTAGGCCTGCCCACCTATAGTAGTCCTTGCCACACAGGAGGCTCAGGGACTGATCTTCTGAGCCTTGGGGTTGGAGGTCAAGCCTGAGCAACAAAGTGAGACAGAAAGGAGGGGGGAGGGGCAAATGACTGTGGCAAGCCAGCCCATTTCTCAAAGTGGAACTTTTTAGTGCTTACCTCAATACTTACCAGACTCTACTTTTATTATCTGACCAAACCCATATAGTCAACACAAATAATTCCAACATTACACTTTCTATGTAGCTGTACAGATATAATCAAGCCAAATGTTCCATTAGTGCCACTAACCCCTGGAGTCCATCTCAGAGAACAATTTATTCAAAGACCAGGAAGCCTGGGTTTTTTTGTTTTGTTTTGTTTTTTTAACCTCAGATTAGCCTTTTGTTTTTATCTTCTTTAGTTTTTCAGACCCATAGACCTCTCAAATGGCTTGGTTGGTTATTTGTTTAGGAAGTCAATCTAAACACAGGCACGCATGTGCGTGTGACACACACACGCACACACACCTGTTACGGGAAAATTATATTTATAGATATTTTTCTCCTTCTAGTCAACACTTTTTATGGCTGTATTGTGAGCATTGCTTTCCTTGGTCTTAATATAGCTTGGGAATCTTGGCTATGACCTTAAACTTCAAATATTGAGAAAATGTAAAACAAGGCTTGTACTATGTGGTTCTTTAAAAGACTTAAATACAGTGCCGGGCTGTGGTGGAGCATACCTTTAATCCCAGCACTCGGGAGGCAGAGACAGGCGCATCTCTGTGAGTTCAAGTCTACAAGAGCTAGTTCCAGGACAGCCTCCAAAGCCACAGAAAAACCCTGTCTCCGGGGGGGAAAAAAAAAAAAAAAAAAAAAAGACTTAAATACAAAGAATCAGGAAGCAGGATTAAGTCCACCATTTCCTGATTTCCAGACGTATTAAACAGATGTTCGGAGCTCAAAATCTTGCATTGAAATAATTGCTAAAGATACAAAGTGGGCACATTATGCCAAAGTAAAGAAGGAGAAACACTTCATTCTGCAGCAACTTCTTCATGAGATTCGCTCCCTCACCCACAACACTTTGCCGCCTCCCCACCACCAAGGACTGGCTGCTTCAGAGACCACACTGCTTATAGGATAAACTTTCCAAACTAGGTAATGGATTTTATAATCTCCCCCTTTTCCACCTCCACCCTTCAAAATGCATTTTCACTGCAAGGCAATATCTAGATTTAATTTTTCTGCAAGAGAGAGCATTTTCAAATTTTTATTAGTATGTAGATTTCACACTGTATGGCCAATGTGAGAGCAGAAATCTTTCAAACAGAAGGAGAAAATTAATCCATTTCTAATCTGCAACCTAATTTATTTGCCCTTTGTTTGTCTTGTGGGTTTTGCTGTTGTTACTGTTCCCCCACCCTCCAGGGTGTTCTGTAACTCATACCCCACTAGACCAGACCAGAGAATGGAATTTGGAATTTTCACTAGATTTTAGCGCCATCTGGTGGCACTATCCATAACCTTTTCTTTCATTTTTTTGGTTTTGGTGTTTTCAAGACAGGGTTTCTCTGTGTGGCCCTCGCTGCTGTCCTGGAACTTGATTTGTAGATCAGGCTGGCCTTGAACTCACAGAGATCCACCTACCTCTGCCTCCCGAGTTCTGAGGTTAAAATCGTGTGCCACCATTAACCGTCCAATAACCTTTTCTTTATAAAACCAAATTATAAAAAAACTTAAAATTAGCCTTTTTTGAAATTTTTATTTTAAAATCTTTCACAAGATATAAAACTCTAAAGAAATTATCTCACAAGAAGATTTTTTGGGAAATTCTTTTCAATTTTTGTTTGTTTGTTTTTATTTTTTAAGGCAGGGTTTCACTGTAGCGCAGGCCAGGCTCTGCCTCCTGAGTACTGGGATTAAAGCTGTGTACCACCACTGCCTCATTCAAAAAAAATTAACATTTATTGTGTACATTTAAGTGTGTGTGTGTGTGTGAGAGAGAGAGAGAGAGAGAGAGAGAGAGAGAGAGAGAGAGAGAGAGAGAGAATGTTCTCCATCTAGGAGCAATAGCATAGCAGCTACAATGTACTTCTTGGTCCCTTAACTGGATACCTAGCGTAACTCTGAGTTTCAAAAGAGAATACAAGTGCCAGGCATTGATGGCGCACGCCTTTAATCCTAGCACTGGGGAGGCAAAGGCAGGTGGATCTCTGTGAGTTCGAGACCAGC